GAGGTGCGGCGCAGATCGATCAGTGTTTGACATCCGCGAGAGCGATTCGAAAGAGCACAGAGCAGTCTGCTCTCTTTAGCTCACGTGGTACTGTAATACACCGATCGGTCTGGATTTTGCTCTGATTTATTGTGTTGGTTACATTTTGTTCCTTTGTGCAGTGGCTCAGGAGATGAGTCTTTGAGTTTGTACAAGCATCAACAAGCTGAAAAATAAAACCAAAGTTTTTTTTTTTTTTTAGATAATGTAATCTTGTTCAAATTGATTTCATAAAATTGGTATCGAAAAAAGTATCGTTCAGGAACCGGTATCAAAGTCAAAGTATCGGTATCGGTATCTGTATTGATATCGAAAATTTTTGAACGATACCCAGCCCTACCGATGAGCTTTGTAAAAATTGATGCGTTTCAGAAAGGCGGGGCATAGAGGAGAAACAATAATGTACAGAATGTGGAAAATAATGTGTTTTTTTAACCTTAAACCGCATAAACACATTTCATTACACCAAATACACAAAATAATGTTCTTTTTAGCAACATCATATGACCCCTTTAAAAAACACGTTAATGATGGATTCGCTTCTTACAAACACACAGCTTATTAATTTATGGACTGGAGTGGTGTGAATTACTTGTGGATTATTGTGATGTTTTTATCAGCTGTTTGGACTCTCATTCTGACGGCACCCATCCACGGCAGAGGATCCATTGGTGAGCAAGTGATGGAATGCTAAATTTCTCCAAATCTGTTCCAATGAAGAAACAAATTCATCTACATCTTATATGGCCTGAGGATGAGTAAATTTTCTGCAAATTTACATTTTGTGGGTGAACTTTTCTAAGTAAACAGTTTGAAGCATAAATATTAGAAAACCTAGTGTACTTTTAGTATTCAAATAAATTTAATCATTTTGCATGTAAATGTCCCTTTTTTTTAAGGAAAAACTAATTCTATGATACACTTTCATGCACTTTTAGGTCTTTATGCCCTCCTAAATGTTTCAAATTAGGAGCACATGTGAAAAGTAAGCATCAATCCCTGTATTTATGTATACATTCTTACTGAAAACATAAATATTATCTGAGGTGCATTGCTCTGTGTAGACAACTTTCCATTTGTTGGAATGCTAAGGAGGAGCCAGCAAGATATGAGGCAATAGATTTACGCAATATGAGGATTTGCCAGTCTGTGTCAGATGTCAAAAACAACAGCCCTGCAGGGCTGTACTGAGAATAGTCCAAAAACACACACACAGCTAGCCAGTGGTGGTACTGTGTTTAGAAACGCCCTGCTGATGAAAGAGGTCATCGAAGGATGACATATGGCAGAATAGCAGGAAGACAATATTTCTGGTATCACAGTATGGATGAAACAGGAATATTACTGCCTATTTTGGTAGTAAAATGTGAGTCACTATAGTTCAATCTGATAAAGTGTCTATTTATTGTTAAAAACACTGCTGTGTTAACAGACGATAACAATAATGTCCATGCAACTATGCATACAATTCTGTTGACATCTGCATAATAAGAGACTGATAATCCAATAATACTGACATTCTTTTCTATTGGTTAATAGAAATCTATTTGGTGAGTCTCCAACAAAGCCATTACGCCACATTAACTTAAGTCACTACAAAATACAATAATTGATGTAAAAGCCTTCATTCTCAAGCATGAAATACAGACCTGTAGCTTTTTTTTTTGTACTATTATAATAATAGTACAAAAATCCCTGGGTGAAAAAAGGCCCTTGTTAAAGAGTTTCGCTGCCGAGACGGGGTGAGCTCAGAAGCTAATTATGGTGTCAGCTTCCCCTCTCTGCCTGCTCTCCTCCAGGTCCAATTAGTTTGATACAGGCAGGGGTGTCAGGCCCGGAGCATTATAGCGTTATCAAAACACTGGTAAACAAACGCAGACACCTCCACGCTTCACTCAGGTACAGGCAAGAGTAAGGACCTTTCAGAGGAATATTGTTCAAGATTGTGTTGGGGGAATGACTGAACAAAGAGGGCTGCCACAGGCTAAAGACTCTTCCAGAGACTCAATGCTGATCATAGCGTTTTGGCTGTAGTCTGCAGTAGACATTGCATACAGTAATGCATGTTAGTGACCCAGCTATACACTGTAAAAAATGATTTTACGAAGTTGTAAATAAAACAAATGATTAATGGAGTACATTTTACAAGGAAATACTATTTCAGTTTTTCTACTGCAAAATGTAACTAATTGTGTTACTTGCTATGTCTTTGTAATTAATTCTGAAATTTACTAGCAATTTCTAAGTAAAAAATGTTGCTACATAATATTTTTTTTTTCCAGTGTACATTTGGGGACAAAAAAATGCAGATGTCTTCAGAAAAAAAAAAAAAAAAGTTAATATGCAATATGATATAAAGTTGCATGAAAAATTTTTCAAGAAAAATGATTGACAGAGCAACTAAATATGTCTTTATGTGCTTAAAAAAAAAAAGTCAAACAATGTATATTAAGTTTAGAGTTTGGAAATATGTTTGCACCCTGCTGAAAGAAAGAAAGAAAGAAAGAAAGAAAGAAAGCAGTTTAAGCTTGGTCAGGCTGTTTTTTGCTAGTTTTAGAGCTTAAGCCAGAAATTAATTAATTAATTAAAAAACAGGTAAAACCAACCATTATGATTAGCTTATTAAGTCATCAAGATGTTCTTTTGAGAAAAAATGATTCACAGAACAACTAAATATGTCTTTATTTACTTCTAAAAACACACACACACACACACACACACACACACATTAAGTGAGTTTACTGGTCTTTGCTGGTCTCCCATCCTGGGGTGCGTTTCCCAAAAGCATCGTTAGCTAACTATGGTCGTTAGTTCCATTGAACTCAAATGGTAACGACGAAACGTCTTTTTTTCTGGTTTTAGTGGGGTTTTGGGCCACTCTTTGGCTGGTCAGACTGGAACGCCAGCTAAAACCAGGTAAAACAAGCAAACTATTATGATAAACTTAATTTACAAACTTTAAAAGTCAATATACTACAATGTCTCCAGTATGACAGTTAGGTAAATGTGATTAAAAGGGCTGTGCCAAATAGCGTCCTAAATAAAATCTGCACCTACAAATGTACCATGTACCCTGATGGTATCAGATGGTAAAAAGCCTAAAAATAGAGATTAATAGTTATGATTCGTTTAATTTAACAACAACAGAATAGTCAATGGGAGGTCTAAGATTATGTGCGTTTGTATTTCGGTAGAATGCGGTATTTGTGCAGAAACGTGAATGCGTTTCTCTCCTTCTCTTTTGTACTACATTATTTCTTTCTGCATTAATTCATTATTTCTTTCTTAGATTTATCAATTTGAGAACATCACTAAAATGTTTTTATTCATGTTAGAGAGTATCTACTGGACTTCTAAAAATGGATAAAACTGTTACATTTCAAATGAAGGCTTTCTTTTCTGAGAAACCAAAAAAAATATTGATGATATCAATGTAAATTTTTTTAGAAAACAATAAGAAATGTATAATATTTATATTTAAAATATATAGAAATTAATATATAAATATATATAAACAAATAAAACCTTAATATATGCTAAATCCTAATTATGGTCACTATAGATTGAAACATTATGCATAATATTAATATTGTTTATATTATAATATTTATATTCAAATATAATGTCCAATAACAAAATATAAATTTCCCTCCATTTTTCTTTTTGTTTTGTTTCTGTTCAGTATGACACCAAGCGCAGGATTTCCGCCGAGTCGTCTCTGAGACACTCTTACTTCCTGACTCTGGGCGAGAACATCCACTCCATACCTGACAGTGAGTTCATCCCAATACTTATGCTATTTCTAGATTGTCTGCTTACATAACATCACCTCAACACGAGCCTTATCATCTGTCTTTCACCTTGATGAATCAACAAAGAAGAAAATACATTTGCTTTGATCATCACCCACTTGTCTTCTATCCTCTCTAGCCTCATCTGTGTTTTCACTGAGGGAGCTCCAGCTACAGAAGGATCCGGGACACAAGAGCTCAGTATTCCAGCCGCCGGGTATTCAAGTCCATTGCTTTGACATCCCTCATCTCTATTTGCAGAGCGCAACTTGATCATGTTTAGTCATGCACAAGGAACATTAATCCCATCTGTAAACCTGTAAGAAAGCGCTTTCACCTCACCTGCACTCCTGCAGATCTGTCTAACAATGGGTCATTTTCTCCAAATCCAGGTCGAGGCAAGAACCGCAGACAAAGCATATTCTGAAGACAAGAAACAAAGCGGTGTGCATGAAGAGATCACCAGAACAAAACCATTATGAAGCAAACAGCTTTGTTTCTCCATCCAAAACATGCATGCATCCATTCACAAACATGTACTTCAGAAAACAGATTCAATAGAAGTGAATCATCCTCAGTCATAACATCAGCTGGTTAAAAGTGTGGCCAAGGCTCAATCAAATCTCTCTTGCAGTCTCTTTTAAACCTAAAAACCACACCGATCCTAAAGCTCAAATCTTTAAAGACATTTACCCCTGGTTTCACAGACAAGGCTTAAGCCTAGCTCCAGACTAAAATGCATGAGCTGTTTTAACTGAAAGAAACTTGCACTGACATATTTTAAAACATTGTTTTGTCTCAAGACATTACACCAGTAATGTTTTTTTTTCTTCTTCCAAGGAACGTTTATAAAAGATACTTACATGTCCTAATTGAACTATGGCCTAAACCTGGCTTAGTCTAAGCCCTGACTGTGAAACCAGGCCTCAGACTTGAGTTCGGCCTCTTCTCCGCCTGGATCTAGTAGTATTTTCAGATGTTCATAGTATTTTTAATTGTGCGTGTGTATGTGTATGTGCAAGAAACATGGTAGCTTCATGTCCTACTTTTCCCATTGAGTGAAATTGCCTTCATTTCTGTTTGAAGTTTGACTTGTTTTGCCATACGTGTTTGACGAGTCATTGCACAAGCTCATATTGCGGTTTATTTCACAAGCGTTCATTCAATATTTTAATATCGAGAGGGGTTGACACATTAAAAATGTAAATTGTCGTAAATATTTGAGCCATTGAATAGAGAATTACTTGAATTCTGTCATAATACCATTGAACTTTGGCTACTAAAGGTGCTGTAAGTGATTTTAGCCAACAAAATTAGACCGCCTGCTCCCTTTCTTCTAAATCCCGTCCTGTCCACAAAATGATTGACAGGCAAAGAGTGTTTCTGATTGGCTAGGGGGGAAAAAGCTGTGGTACTCGCTTACAGCATCTTTGACTAGTTACTAATTTACATTATCATCAAGAGGTGCCTTTTGCAGACCGTAAGAGATGATGGGGTCCAATTTTACGCTTATCGAAAAACCATCTTCTTCAATCTCCTCGAGGATCTCGGTCCTTTCAAGTAATTGCACGTGCAGATATTCGTTTTGCCATTTAAGCTAATTGCTACTCCGTATTTGCACATGGCATGCAAGTGTCCTGGACCTGAAACCTAATTATTGTTCACCTACTCCTACTGTATCTTGTAGTTTAAAGATGAAAGCACTATGACTCTTTATTGTAAACGGCACTGAGCACAAGCTAGTGGTCAGAAATGAAAAGCTTAATAATTTAAAGGCCACCGGGGAACAGAAAAATTGAGAATGACTGACAAAGAAGAAAATATAATGACTTAAAATGATTTAGTTTACCATTACCGAAGAAGCGGCACTAATTTATGTTTTGTGGTAAATGAAAATATTTTAAATACTCTATTGAAAAGAATTAATATATAAATATATGTATTTTGACAAGTGTTTTCTTTATTCTCGGTGAACTTTTGCCAGAAAAAAAAATAAACTATGGTATTAAATAAACTTAGATGATGTCTAAATGTTTTATAAAAGATTTAGATTTTTGTATGAAATGTGATATTAAATATTTGGTGTGATTTGTCTATTCTATTATGATATTCTGAAGCTGAATGTATTGTGGCTGCGAAAATGCCAAAAATAATTACATAATCAACTAAATAAATGATGACGTTGAGCTGAAGCATGGGAATGTGACTGCCCTCGTCTCAAACAATAGTCTTACTGTCTTGAATGGAGCTATTTGACATTAATACACTTCAATACACATTAATACACTAGGCAACATAACGTCTCCTGGACAGCCAGATAAACCTGTGTGCAAATAAGTGTGGGTTTGTGCTTCATTGTTAGCATAGCTGCAACAAAAGACCTGTGTAAATACTCGTCGGACCTGTCAGATGCACTCGGGGTACGGTGAACATGAAAATATCTATAGAACAAAACAGTCCAAATATGCCTGTGTATGTCGCCCCAGGCAACAGTGCGTGATTTCTTACCCTCTTGGGTATGTTGGCTTTGTTGACGAATTATGTAGGAGGAACAAACTACTAGAAAACACACCTGTTGCACGGATCTGTTTCTTCTTGTTTAGATGTTTGAATCTTTTTAGCGAATCATTTCGATTTGGTGTACCGGTTCCTTTGAGTCATAAAGCGATAGTGTTTTGTTTTGTTTTTGTGGCCAGGACCGAGATACTGGGCCAGGACCTGGTTTGGTAGGCTAACACCTGTGGTACTGATCTCTATGGAAGCCCGTTTCCGCCACTGAATAAAAAAATTAAAAAGTTACTTTTTTTATCTCACAATTCTGACTTTTTTCCTTACTTTTTTCCCAGAATTGCGAGTTTATATCTCGTATTTCTGACTTTTTTCTCAGAATTGCGAGTTAAAATCTCGAAATTGTTACTTTTTTCTCAGTTTATATCTCGCAATGCAATTCTGAGAAAAAAAAGTCAGAATTTTTTATTTATATCTCTCAATTCTGACTTTATAACTCCCAATTGCGAATTTATATTTCACAATTCTGTGAAAAAAAGTCACTTTTTTCTCAGAATTGCGAGTTAAAATCTCGAAATTGTTACTTTTTTCTCAGAATTGCGAGTTAAAATCTCGAAATTGTTACTTTTTTCTCAGTTTATATCTCGCAATGCAATTCTGAGAAAAAAAAGTCAGAATTTTTTATTTATATCTCTCAATTCTGACTTTATAACTCCCAATTGCGAATTTATATTTCACAATTCTGTGAAAAAAAGTCAGAATTGTAAGATAAAAAGTCGCAATAACCTATTTTTATTCAGTGGCGGAAACTGGCTTCCTAGATCTCCTCCTGATAGTGTTGGAAGTTCAAATAATTTTAGCGAATCGGTTCGCTTTAATGAACTAGCTAGTCTGTCAATTTAGTTATTGGTGGTCGTCATATGCTGGTATATTTTTTATTTAATTGTAGCCTTTCAAATTTTGCGTTGATTCCAATAGGCTATGTTTAAATTTATGTCTAATGGGAGGCTGTACAATATTATAATTTTACTAATGATTTTCTTTGACTTTCCAAAACACACACACACACACACAGAGAGAGAGAGATAAAACATCACTTGACTAAAATATTTTTACCAGCGCTTCTCTACAAACGGGTCAGTTTAGATTGAATCATTCCAAAGAACCGATTTGAATGAACAACTCGTATGCGAATCGGACCATCTGATCACTCGACTCTCACTTTAGACAAGTCTCTTCTCACGCCTATGATGAATTCCACTGCGTAAATGCTCAGGAAACACTTCAGAAACTTTCTCCAGCATGAAGCAGCTGCTTAATGAACGGATCTGCGCTTTATTCCGCAGTAACTGGCAGCATACTCTCACATATTGGAGTGTGTTCTTTAGTTTTGGACTCTGTGTCGCTTTTCTGGGGCCGACCATCCTGGACCTGAGATGTCAGACTCAGTCTACGCTGCAGGAGATCACTCTGGTCTTCTTCTCCCAACAGTTTTTCCTCTTTATTGGAAGCACCATTGGAGGATTCTTCAGTAAAACGTGAGTGTTTTGGAGAGATATACAGCAGTTTATGTATTAATACATTTATATTTTATTCGTTTATTCTTGAGCCTGTAATGTGCATCACTTATGTAGTATTTATATCACAGATGTGGTTTTACAGTTTTTAAGAAAAACTTTTAGTTAGTAGCCTTAGTAGCCTTCCTCGAAACAATAAGGAACTGAAAAAGAGATTATCTATCTAATCATCATAACACATATCATTATCTGATTTCTTAGGACTGATCGGTTTCTAACCCATCCGTGGCCTGTCTCTAGAAAACTCTGTAGTGGTCATGTGCTCATAAAAAATGTGCTGTTTCAGTTATCTGGGTCGGGAGCCATAAAAACACACTGCCTTGTTGTTGTTTTGCCTGACAGATAAAGAAATGAACTTTTGTAAAGTTAATTTTTGTAAGTGGTTTCAAAAAGGTTTGGAACAACATTTGCTCATTTAAAGCAACTTCACGTTCAAGAAAGAACTGAGTGATTTTTATGGCTATGAGCAAATATTTCCTCTGTGTAGTAAACACTGCTGATATTCATATTATTTTACAGTTTGTTTTGCCGGTCACCCTGCAGTTCTGAGACTGTACCATGGAAATGTACTATTGCCTGAAAAACAAGTAAAACCATGAGGATTCTAGCAAGCATGGCTTTCTCTTGCTTTAGTCATGTTTTAACCCTGAGGTCTTCTTTAATTGCTTTTATTTGGAAACTTGTGCTCTCAATGTCACACTAGTCCTTTTCTATTTGTTTTCCTCATTACAGATAATCATATTACTTTGTTTAACTCTGTGGATTTGGGTATGGTACACTTGTAAAAGATCTTTATCTCTGTTTTACAGTCCTGACTATATTTAACCACACATCATTCTCCATGTTTCCTTCATCTGTTCTGCTCTATTGGTTTTCCAGTTTGTGGCATGCAACTTAATGCTGCCTTCATCGGAATTATCATAAATACAAGTTTCCTAGTTGGTGAATGAATGGCTTCTCAAGTCATATTTAGATGATTTTTATGCTTGAGTTTCCAAGTTTGGGGTGCTGTAAACCATTGCATACTGTTAGGTTTTAGTTTTTCCCACAACATCCACATTGCTTTCTCTTGCCATTACAGTCATGTATATGTATGTATAAAAAATAATCATTTGATGCATATTCTGTGTATTTATTTAGGTGAAAACAGCATTTATTTGACTGAAACTTGGTGAATGTATACAATCGTGTAAGTAATGTTTATGTGGTTGACAACAAATGAGATGCTACATTTTATTCAAAATCCATTGGATACTGAATATCTTCAATATATTTAGACCTTAATAAAGATTTCCTTCCAAAATAGAAAAGAATGAACCTGGGGGGTATTCCAGGAAGTAGATTATGTGACATACCCGGGTATGTTTAAGGGTAAGTAAGTGGTTCCAAAAACAGAGGTAACTGTCAGTAAGTAGCCATAGCAACTTATTCTCTGAACATAACCTGCTCCAGGGTAGGTTATGTTTCAGGGTTAGTTTACTTCAGCGCTATCAGCACATGCGTGACCTTATAATATTATATATGATTACAATATAGCTATCATATATATATATATATATAGAGAGAGAGAGAGAGAGAGAGAGAGAGAGTTGTATGATATGTTAATTATAAAGCACTATTATAAGTAATATATAAGGTAATATTATATTATTCTA